TTTGCTGTTTTATGGAGCAGGAAAAAAGAGCTAGTAAATCTGAGGGCGCTGTACGGGTGAGGAGCTGAGAGCAGGCTGGGGAACACATCTCCCATGATGCAGCACTTTATCTCCTTCCCAAATGGCATCTTTATCTGCCTAAATTAAGTTTTGATTCCTTGCCACATATGGAGCTACAAATCACTTTTAATACTGATATCAAGAGCAGCAGTAAAATGTGCCCAAAGCGACGGAAAGCAGCTTTATTGTGTGGCACATACTGCCACATACACCAGCAGTCACTGTCTCTCTGTGGCTCACCGTTGTAAGAAAAATCAGCCCCCAAACCACTGCTTTGTGTGCAAATCATATTATGCCATTTGTCACCATTCGAAAATTCTCTCTATCCTGCAGCCCTGCACATGGAGCAACTGCAGCTGTCTACCTGTAATTCTGTGGATGAGGACGAAGGATACCCCTAAAGGTGACTTAATTTATAGCTGTGATTAATTTCCAATTCCATTTTCACCCTGTGATGTTTATCTTTCAAATTAGAAAGAAGCTGAGGCCAGGTTGTGTGTATGTGGGCGGCGATTGGAAGGGGGGATGGGTCGGAGTTGGGGAGTGGGTCCCACACAGAAGCTGCATTATGTTGCCTCGGCATTATCATCAGTCTGCCTGCATATCTCACTGTTTGTTTGTCTGCCTATCAATCTGTGTGACTGCCTGTCGCTCTGTCTAATTGATCAGCGGCCTGACGGGAGAGACGGAGGGCCAGTGAGCGCTCGGCTGCAATATGCGATGTCTGACATGTGCTGCGCTGAGAAACATTTGACGTAGAATTAAATGTTTGGTAAAAGGACCAAGGGTGTTAAGACATGCCGGCAGCTCTGTGAGGCTGAAGGCCGACATCCATGTGCTAACATGTACATTAGGTAAACATGTAAGATGAACATGTTAACATGCTAACATTTGTTGCAAAAAACGTTACGTACAGCTGGGGCTAATGAGAACATGTTTTGTTAGTGTTTCGGCCATAAATTATATAAATGAACAATGTTAGATTCAGACTTAATGATGGCACTGGTGGAAAGGTCGAGGATCACAAAGGGGTAGACACACACGCCTTCTTCATCCATGTTTGTTTTTCTTCTGAAGTTACGTTTAATCACGAGTGTCTACACTCCAGTTCAGAAGGTGGCGGTAATGCGCCTAAAAGAGAGTTTGTGTGAAATTTCAAGTCTCTGGAAATCGCCACCGTGAAATCGTTTCCTATAGCAAGTGTGTGGTCTGACCTCTTAATATACAATCTATGTGTCTGACGTTCTGGTCAAATAGTTCAGTGTGTGTGTTCTGAAGATTGTAAGATTAATAATGGGTTAAATGTGTCATTATGTCTGTGGTCTCCCATGTTTTTGAAATCTGTCAAGAGTTGAAAATCCTCTAGTGTCCAGCAGAGGAAGAAGAGGGAGAAGAAATTAGCGCGTTCACCCGGGTCTCATGTTTCCATCACTGCTGATTGGAGCCAGAGTCAATAAAAACCGTCAACTGCTGCAGAGTCATTTGACCCATTGTAGATATAGTATAAGCCAGATGCTAGTGGGTGGTAGGTGGAGATTCACTCAATCACTAATGTCTTGAAGCATTCTGATACATGCCAGTAAAGGTTGGTAAGACAGAGCTTTTTAGATGTTGATCCCCTGATTGGCTCTGGACTGTACAGCTCCCCACAGCTGAAAACACAAGTCCACATTTTTACCAGTCTTTCCATTGTGACACAGAGTTTAATGCTTTTCACACATTTATTAGTTCACGAGGGTGAACGTGTGAATTTTGGGAGAAATGAAGAGGAAATTTGTTCACTCTCTGTGTTTATCTGAGTCCTTCCCATTATAGCAAACAGATAAGTGACTCAGACAGTGAGTCATGTGTAAATAAAGCATAGTTATAAAGCATGCAGAAAGGTTCAGGGGTGCGGGTGCTGTTAAGCTGAAAGCTAAAATGGGTAAGATATTTGATTTAAGTGGCAGCTCCTTGGTCCAGACGCTCCACTTCCAGCATCTCAGAAACGCCTGCCCTCTTGGGGTTGTCTTCTGCCACAGTGTCAAGTTTCCTGTGAGACTCAAACATCCATCTAGCAGCCGTCCTGTGGTAGAAATGCTTTTTGCTGTGCATGTGAGGAGCGTTATTTGCTGAAAGGGGCCTATTAACAATCTTTGGGGCGTTAACACCTCAGGATTTTTATGATAGCCTCACTCCTGATGCACTTGCAATGTCCCCTTTGAAGAAGCTTACACGGGGGAGCAAAGGATGTTTAGGATTACATGAGTGTTTTCCTCTTCTCCAGAAAAAATTGAGGACATCTTCCATCCATCTCTCCTTTATTCTCCTAACACAATTTCAAACCTTGCAGCTTTAGAGCAAACAAAAGAAGATATAGAATGAATATAAAAATATGTAAGTGGATTTGAGTTCTATGTTATTATGATGGTTTTGTACTGCAACTAATTTAAAGGAAGACGTGCCGATTCCCATATTTAAAAACTGTTAATATTAAAAAATCTGCTTTTCTGCTAAACAGAAATTTAGATTATGATTTTGTTGAGAACCCACGATGCTGTTCCCCGTTTTAAGAGTCTGCACCTCAGAGGCTGATGTAAGATGTCAGACGAGAATGGCAAAAACTTGTTCAAGTTAATAGGCCACAAGTCACTGACAACTCAGTACAACAGCAGTGTGCAGGAGGATATTTCTGAAAGCACACATCATTTAACCTTGAATTGGATGGGCTGCAGCAGCAGCAGAGGGCTATTCGCCACTTTCCACTCTAGTCAGCAAAGAACAAGAAAATGGAGCTGTATATGTGAGTCATCACCAGGACTGCTTGACTGAGGAGTGGAGGAATAAAGCGCGATGTGAGAAATCCTGGTTTGTGATGTGACCAGCTTGTGACGATGCCATGATGTGGCCTTCGCTGTGACACTCCCTGTGTACAAATTGACACTTGCAGCAAGATGAGGTGCGAAAGGGGCGACCCAAACCAAACCACAGCCCCCCCACCCCCCAACCCCCACCGCCGTGGAAGAGTTTGAGTCAAGAATAAAAGCAATTTCCTGCATAGCACACCTGTAATTGAAATGCCAGCAAGACGACAGCTGCCCATTGACATCAGCGTACATTAAAAACACGGTGATGGAGGGGAGGAGAAAATCATTTTTCTTCAATTAGATTCATATTTTAAGTTATCATGTTTCATTTTGCTTCAGAGATGGTGTCAAGCTCATATTTCACATTAATCACGTCGTGTTGGGGGCATTGCCTCGACATCTGTCATGCATGTGTAATCACTCATCAGCCTTTTATCGGAATCACTGAAACAAATTTCCCCCTGCAAAGCTTCTGTGTGTGTGTGTGTGTGTTTGTGTGTGTTTGTGTGTGTGTGTGTGTGTGTGTGTGTGTGTGTGTGTGTTTGTGTGATTGTATGGCCGTTAGGGTGAACTCATTATTGATCAGACACTGTGACATGCTATTACTACTTCTAAATAACAATTAGAGTGGCTGAAAGAAGGGCGAGAGCAGGACCCAGGCAGATAATTTATGCCTTCCTGTTGCAGTGGCTGAACTAAATTAATGACAATTTATGTTTTCAAAATACACAGAGGGACCAGGAAATGGAAGCATCTGTTTACAATTTTTCAATTTCTGAGAGTACCCAACATAAGAAGAATAAGAAGAAAGAAAAAAAATGTGCTTCCCACTTCACTTCATTTGTTTTGCTGGTACAGTTTTGAGCTCATGTTTCAGAAAAGAGATGGTAAAGATTCCACCAAGGAGACTTTTGCCCTTTCAACTTCAATGAAATGTATGAGTTTATTCAAATAACTCAAAGAATAAGGAACTTGAGAGACGCAGATTTTTTGTGTATATATGCCTTAGAATATAGATTTATCTCCCTTCTTCTTCGAGTTCAACTCGTCAAGTCAAAGTTTATTTCTAGATCATGTACTGAAGAGGCTGAAAATACAAAGAGCAAACAGGGTATAAATCTAAAATACAAAAAGCAATGACATTTTTTGTGTTTGAGTGTTAAGCTCTTCATATACAGTCTATGGTGTTAAGATATTGCACAATGTACTAGAAACCAAATCAAGGTCTCAAACTCAACTTGAATTAAAGACCAGTGAGAAGAAGTAGGACTTCAGATGACCCCTCAGGTTTACATACGTGTACTAGAGTAATTTTACATTGTGGTAGTGGTACTTTAACTTTAGAATAAGTGAGTAAGTCAATTTTATTCATTAAGCACCTTTTAAAACCAAAGTTACAAAGTGCTGTACAAACATGAAATTACAGAATAAACACAAACAATAGAAGAATGAAAACTACACAGACCAGATCTTGCAAGACATTTTTATTTTAGCAATGTTCCGTAAAGGTTCAGTGTGTAGAATTTAGTGACATCTAGTGGTGACGTTGCATGTTGCAGCTGAACACCCCTCACCTCACCCTCTCCTTCCAAACATGAAGAGAACCTGTGGCAGCTTCAGTCCTCATTAAAACTCAAAAGATGTTTAGTTTGTCCAGCCTGGGCTACTGTAAAAAACATGGTGGCCTCTGTAGAGAGGACCTGCTCCTGATGTAAATATAAAGTATTTAAATATAAAGAGCTCATTTAAGGGTAAAGACAATTTAGGTGATCACACACTACTGAAAACATCACAGGTATTTATTTTATTTTATTTATATTCAATTTATGCCAATAGATCCCTTCGAAGAACGAACCCTGCGATAAATACATCTATTCAACATATTTTGTATAGATGCATTTTTCTATTTATGGATTCATATAGAATACAGAGACTTAATCAACTAGGTGACTGCAGAATCCTCCCTGGAGCATCAGGGATTGTCACATTCGGTTGACTTCCCAATTATCATGGAGGTAATAAAACTCCATCCATTCCTCGCTGCTGTCCGGGCCAGGTTTTGATACAGAGCCGCCACTTGCCGGAGCACTTGGATTGGCTGAAGGAGAAAGGTAGCCCGCAGAGACTGCTCCTTCCTCCTCCTGCTCAGTCCTGTCAGTGGAGCGCAGACGGCGCACACACACATGTTCCTCTCACACACTCCCACACACTCCTGCACGCGTGAAAGGTGCCACAGAGGGGGACTCACCGGAGGACTTTGGCTTTAGTGTGTGCGGGACTGACCGGAGCATGAATTTGCCATTAATAAGACATCGATCCACACTTCTCCACAGACCAAGTGCAGCTTCCAGGGGGAGAGCGGACGGAGGCAGGTTTTAATGCAACATCTTCCTCACACGGAGGGCGATGCACCCGCCTCTTGATCCGTAGTAAACTGTCACACTTCGTATGTGCGCAAGAAAACACAGCGCTGGATCCATTTTTACGCAGAGCTGCTTTCTTGTTTGTTGCGCCGGGGTGAATATTTGGCTGCGGCGCGCAACGACGACGCGTGTTTGAGCGCATTTTCCCAGTGAGACGGACTTACTGGCTCTGAGCGGAGTTTGACTCCTCGTCATGAGGTGCGGCGGCGGCGGCAGCGCACAGACTCACAAACACGGAGGAAAAGTGCCAAGATCCTCACCTGAGATGCGGACCGTGTCCTGGCTTTTGCTGCTTCTCCTTGTGGATCTCACAGTGGCTCAAGGTAAACGCACTTTCTTGACCCGTGAACTTGGAATCGTGTACTCTCTTAAAAAAAGTTGTGTGAAGTCCTGTAAGCTTCAGCAGGGGGTTGGTGCGCATCAGGAGGAACCACCTGAGCAGAGTTTAGTCACACACGTATCAGAGAAATTGTCTTTCCAACAATTTTGGTCACAGGCTTTCATAAAGATTAGAGGATAAATCCAGCCTTTAGTCTGCAATGCTTCAAAACAAGTGGGCCTACTACAGGCTAATACACCCTCACAGTCAAATAATATAAATCCAGAGTGCAAATAAAAGGTTCCCTGAAAAAAACCCCACGTTTATCATATTTAAATTCATTAACAAGAGTTGAAAAAACGTGGCCACTGTTTCATTTCATTTCAAAAGAAATTCAATACTTGTGTAAAAGCACAACAAGCATTTTGTAAACAGAAGCAGTCAGACTATTGTATCTGTTTCTCCAAGGAAACAAAGTGCTGCTCTATACAGAGCTTCTCACATCCAAATGAAATGTGTGTTTTATAACCCACTTGATTCTAACCTCAAACACTGTTGTGAAACTGAAATCATGGGGAACAAGCTGCAGGATATAATATGTACGTAATTATCATTATTTACTAAATTAAATGTAAGTTCAGATTCTCGGCCACTTTTTAACTGTAATTCCAAAAGGAGGTCACAGGATGAGAGGCTGAACTTTCATTCACTCAGCTCTTCAGTTCCCATTGTGAAACAATAAAACAGTTATTCAGCATTGCTCTGTTTTGAAATGACGTATAAATAACCAGTATAACTCCACAAATGTGATTTGCTTTGTTTGGGAATAAGCGCCCCCTCCTCTGATATCAGATTCAAGCTACATGTAAGCTGTCATGGTCCTGACCTTTGCTCTGAGAAGCCGTCTTTATCAGGACTGAATAACATGTCTGAAATATGAAGCGGTGAAACACAGGAATTATCCATTTTTGTTTTCAACACGGCACTTCTCATTTAAACGACTTTAAATTTGTCAGCGTCAGTCAGTGAGCACATTTTAAACCCTCGGTGCGTCCTCAGCCTTTTTCCTCAGTCGTGTGTTGAAAGATATTTTCTGTGAACCCCACAGTTGCCGTCAGTTATGGAAAGCGCAGAGATAATGCCACGGCACCTGAAGCCATTCACTTAATCTGCTCTCTCCTGAGTGGGATTGTCTGTCAAACAAAGGCAGCTAGGAGGAACCCATGTGTGTGAGGGGTGTATGCGCATTATGATGTGTTTGTGCATGTGTCTCAGATGCCAAGTGTGTGTATGTGCTGCTGGAGTCAAACGTAGGTGGTCTCTGCACTGCTCTTTCTGGAATGAGCTGTGGCTGAATAACATGTGGAGATGGGTGTGGGGGGATTGAGGAGATTTTTGGGGGCTGCAGATGACAGACTTCTACAAGGAAACACCTTAGGTAGAGGTTTTCTCTGTGGCCTAATATGTTTTTTTTCTTTTTTAAGGCTAAGGCTTTGCTGCTCATGCAAGAGCAACACGCGCTCAAATTTGCGGTCCGAGCACATAGCCGAGACAGGGATGAGGGTCTGCGAGCAACCTTATCTAGCCGCCCCAGACCTCCATCTCTCTCCTACATAGTTAATGAGCAAAAAAAGCAATGGGAGAGGAAGAGTGTGGGGGGGAGAAACAGCACAGGTCCGGTTTCTGAAGGGAAGGGTGAGATGACATAATACCCATTCCTAAACCCCAGAGAGCCCTGTGTCATTGACTGGATGGGAATACGAACAAGGTCCTCCTCTGTCCATTAAGAGGTCGATACAGCAGGAGAACATTGTTTGAGACTAATTAATGGGCCCTCGCTATTTTTGGGCTCCGATGAGCTCCACACGTTTTCCAAATCGCCGGAGAGTCACTTCTTCAGTGTAAAACTACTGGTGATTACAGTGGCTCGCTTACCCCGAGGCGCTCCTCACCACGTCATCCCCCCTTTTCCCTGCGTATTTGAAACGTATTTTCCGTACATATCATGTGGCTGCTGCTTATTTTTACCTTCTGACTTTGCCCTAAGAGGAGGTGCACTCATCACACACACACACACACACACACACACAGGAGAGTGAGCACTGGGGAAATGAGAGCGCTCATTAACCTGTTGAACTCTTGACAAAGGAGACAGGTTGAGACAGATATAAGCTGGGAGCTGCCAGAGAGGTAGCCGAGAGCTCTGTGACAGTAGCCTGATTGGAAACCCCCGGTGCGAGAACAGATGAACTTCTGTACTTCACAGCACAGAGGCAGAGCTGTAACGTTTCTGTGCAGTGTCCGTGTCATATGTACATGTTGTTTTTTTAAAAGGTGTCGAGTTGTGATTGGAGTGCCTCCCTATTAAAGACAGGATCATATGTGGAAACAAACTGTAAGAGATGTTTGCAGCATGTTTGTCTCCTGCTGGGGGAAGTAAGATTGTAAAAAAACAGGCTTCTCTTCTAATTGGTGGATCTGAAATATTAGGATTTATTTCATCCATTAAACAGACTGACCATGCAGCTACACTTTCTTTTATTGATTTCACATATTAAATGTGCCTCCGAGGTGAGATGGGCTCAAGGAGGATTTCCAAACCACTGCAGCAAATGAAGCATTGCAGTTTTAGGAAAATCATGACCTCTGCCCAGGAGGATATGTATTCTCTGCTGTTTTATTTATTGGTTTCTTTGGGAGAAAGATTTTACAAAAACTAATGGACAGATTACTCTGAAAGTGGTTTGAGGAAAGTGGTATGGGTCAGGGAAGAACCCATTAAATTTTGGTGCGGATGGAGCGCAGGGGGTGGATCAAGGAATTTGATATTTTTGTGAACATTGTGAGATGTGGTGTTTTTCACCATTTTCCTTGATTTCTCAGGGAATAATTCATGGGCCTTGAGAGCAAAAAACAGCCACATTTACAAAAACTGCTTTTACGACGATATTCTAGTGATGAATGAAGTATACTAAAAGGTGTATTCACTATTTCCCTCATAAATGTGGTGGAGTAAAAATAGAAAGTAGCATAAAAGAAGAAGCTTGAGTAAAGTAGAAGTATCTCTAATGTGTAGGCTGCTTAAGTACCAAGGATTWAAAAAAAAAAAAAAAAATAATAATAATTTTTTTAGTTTTTTTTAATACAAGTAAATTATTTAAGATGAGTTTTAATAACAAGTAAAAAAAGAGTTAGGTATACAATTATCATTTTTCAAAATAAACAACACATTCTAACAGTGTTAGAATTGACAGTGTGATATCTACGAGGCGGTAATGTGTGGTTCAGCTTGATTGAATTTAAGTGGACGGTTGGTTCTTGGCAGACGCATGTGCTGTGAGTGCTAGTTCAAGATGTTGAATGTATGAAGACGGGAGGAGGAAGTTGTTCTTTCATCGATCCCTTATTTCTTTTCACGGCCGCACGTTACACACGTTAACACTGACGTTTTCATAGTGTATCTTCGTGTCAGGCAGCGGACTTCATTCATAAAGCTCAGCCCATGGGTGCTGGCCTTCCTGGGATAAGTTCAGCTTTTCCACAATGCTGCTTTTCTTTTCTCCCTCTTCCTTTTCTTACTCTTACACCATGTTCCCGTCTCTCCACTTTCTGATGATGTGTCCTCTGAGGCCTGTTTATGGAGGGAAAAGTTGAAGCCTCTTTTAATATATATTTATATGGTTTCTGAAATGTTGTGACTCAGCGCACAGTAAGACGTTGTGCGTGCAACACTCTCTCTCAGACCGATCTGAGCGCTGCCTTAACAGCGCAGGTAAATGCCAATGTTATTTCTATCGTTATTATTCTAACAGGCTTCCATGTGGCCTGACAACTGGCTCCTTTGGGGCCACTAATTTCACAGCCACTGCGGTCATTCTATAAACAGGGCCTGTACGCACAATGAGCGCATTGTGTTGAAGGAGCAGTAGTTGGGAATTACCTCCTATGATAGCCTTTGGCCAGTGCCAGCAGTACAACACCCCTTAAAGTCAGGCAATTTGATGTAATTGAAGGAAATTAAGATTCGGTAACACACTCGCCCATGTGCAGGTGAAGAAAGAGGGCAAAGCAAACAGTCTGTACAGTATGGTCCGACTCTGCTTAGGGGGAGCAGAGGTGCATGCTGGGTGCTAGCTGAGCCGCAGACGTGGTGGTGAGTGATAATTACTGTGAAAAAGTGGCTGCTGAGTTTGCGTCCCTGCTCCGCATGATGTCGTGCACTATTGTTATTGAAAAGTTAAATATAAACACTGTGGCTATTTCCGGGGCTGGGAAACAGTTCGTGAGGATCATCTGGAAGCAAATATTGTTACTGTCATCGAAACCAGGATTTTAGGTGTGACTGAAGTTGTGAGTCCAAATTCCTGTAGTGCAACTACATGTTTCTTTTTTGATTTACAAGTTCTATTTATTAAAAATCGGTCTCACTTTTCTCTCTTTGTTCTCCCTGATGGATACATTCTAAATTACTCTGTTATATCTGAGGCTCATTTAATGCCTCAGTCAATGTTATTATATTTAATATAACCATCCCCCAGAATGCATCGTGTTTAATTTGTGTATTTAATGACAGTGTAAACGTCTCTGCAGGCTTTTTAAAACTCCCAAATTCACAGTCACAATTCTTCTGTGTGTCTTAGACAAAATTACAGGTCCCCAATAGTGAAGCCAAGTCATCTTGATATCCCCTCGGTGGTTGATTGTCACATAGGTCTTATGGCTTCATTTTTGCACAACAAGAGGAAGTGGCAATGAGTCGTCCATCTTTATATAAAGTGTACAGTATGTCTCTAACCAGCATAGTGGAACGGTGACTGTTCCAGCAATGTAAAGTTTTTGTTGGTGGTTTCGTTGTCATTTTTATGTGTTGCTCTCGTACTGCAAACGTTTCAAAGTAATTAAACTTGAGGGGAATGTAATGATGATTCCAGATCCCTGTGCGCTATAATCTCCCGCCCTCCCAGAGCAGAAGAGGAATGATGGTAAGAGTGAGAAGAGGGTGAT